TCTATTTATCAAAATCTTTTATTAATTTTTTTAAGAGAAATTTATTTAAAAACAAACAAGTACTTTTATTTTAATATTAAACTTTTCATTCATTTAGTATTTTATTTAAAACAAATTTTATTGTAAAAATTTTTAAAACTTATTTGAAATCTTCATTTAAAAAGTTCTGCTTTTAATTTGAAACGTTTTATTTCTTCACAACAAGCCCTTTTTAAAAAAATATAATAATAAATAAATAAAATCTTTTATTTAAAAGGAGTATCCTGGATTTCACTATACCATTGGATTTTTCCACTAGAAGCAAGCCTATCGTCTCTGCTCGTGCCGATCAAGCACACTGCCTCCTTCAAGAAAGAAACGAATGATCGAGATCGATCGACCGACCAAACGCGGAGACGTTATGTAGCTATCCCCCATATAGAATTTTCCATGATAAAACTTTGACAATGGAACAGGCTGAAAAATTCTCAATTCGCCAATTCCGATGATGATAATGAAATTGGGGCGTGGAGGAGGAGTAGGTTAAAACACAATAATTGGCAAATTTGAGCGCGTTAAACTTTTGTGGTCCAAGATGGTAAAGAAAAGGTATTGAGAAGTACTGGGGAGGTTTTCTCTGTGTTTTCTCCTCCCCACTGCAGCCCTCTTTAAATACACCTAAAGATAACCGTAAAAAAGAAAAAAATGCAAGAGAAGAGAGAAAAAGAGGGAGGAGAAGAACGGAAGGGAAGAGAGAGGAGGCCAGGTTAGAGAAAAAGAAGAAGAGGAGTAAAAGGAGAGGAGGTCACGTATGTGGTTTTGACCGGGAAAAAATCAAAGAGGAAAAAAAATTGTTATAAAAACAATCATTTAAATAAAAAACCTCATTTATAAAATAAAAGTAAAAAAAAATCAAATCAAATCCTTTTTTAAACAAATTTATTTACGTTAAATTTAATTTAATTAAAACTTTAGATTAAAACTTATAATAAAGTAAACTTATGTTATTTTTTAATTAAAATAAAAATTAATAAAGTAAAATACAGTAATAAAAATTAAAAATAAAAATAAACCGGACAAAATACGGTGTTTACCTAATATATTAATCTTGTTTCAAGTTCTTAGATTATATACTGAAATATATTTCAAGTTCTTAGAGTATAATTTACGAATAATCGAGTGTTGAATATAGCAATTGTCTTTCTACCGAAATATATTTAATGACCAAAATAACCCAAAATCACTGTAAATAAAACACAACATTTCATGGTCAAAACTCATCAAACTAATTAGTATATGTTGTATCGTTTTAAACTACCAGTATATTCATACTATCAAGTTATATGTAAAATCAAATAATACCTATTGTACGGTAAATCTACCTCTGAATCCTATGAAAGTGGCTCAAATCCAATGAATAATCTTTGTTGATACGAACAGTCCCTGCAAGCCAAACGGAAACACAACTGCCGATGAATACACACACCATTATTAGAAATATACCTTGCAATCTAGTATATATAATAGTATATAATATCTTCGGGTGATGATATACCTATAGTAAGCAAGAAAATACATTAAATTTGAACAAGTTACTCATGGAAAATTAATAACCCTGAATAATTTCCCTCTCCACAGGAATATTGAAACACGCATTTCAATATACAAATAAGAAAGAAATTGTAAAACACAATAATACAACACAGTAAAATTATACTAGCTCACCAACTAAAAGATACGTCTAGTTTTCCACTCAGATGTGGATGATACACTAATATTGTCAAGAATTGGATTACAATACTCTCTACAAAAATATCCATATAGGTCCCAACAAAAGCTCTTAGCTTCTAAGCCATCTAGCACAATTAATTAGGTACAGGAAGGAATGAAAAACTCACAATAGAATCAAGATCTAGAAACTGTCGTAAAACTTCTTCTAAGACGGCTCAAAACCGGTTAAGTAAACCTTGAACCTGAAACTACAGTATTTATAAAGTCAATATACTGCCATGGCGCTACAGACGGATTAAAAACGCCTACGGATCCATCAAGACAGCACCACGACACCGTTCGTAGTGCCACAACGCTGCCTTCTCGGCCCTCCTTGCCTGTAGCGGCCCGCTTCAACTATTTTCTATTCCTTCTTTTTTCCGAAGCGTCCCGGTTTGATCCCGACTCGTCCCCATCTCGTTCGGACGTCAACTTGGCTCCACCAATCCTAACAGTTACCAGTGATGCACTCGATATTTTCTGTTTTGTCATTTACTCAAACACTTTGCAGACTGAATAAACCCCAAATAATGTCAATAATATTCGGAAATAGACCTCCTTGGCAAATACATTGAAGAGATGAAGAAAGCAAAATACTAAAAATGAAACCAAACATAGATTTGATATTGATGGATTATAGACAGATTCTTGTCTGGAAAAACAAACAAATCAAAATTCAAAAATAGATTCACTGTCTGCAGCGTTGAATATTGGCTGTAAAACAACAGACTCTTGGCGGAAATTTATTAAAAAATGGGCAGGTCAACTTATTGACACAGTTGTAAATTTTTTAGAGTTTAGTAATTATAAGGTAAGAAATTAATAAATCTGGTATAAATATCTATATAGATATTTCATAATTAGAAATATGAGATTATTACCGAATAGATCCGTAATAAACCTACTTTTATTTTATGAAACCAATCTTTTGAATTTTATCTTAAAATTAATTTATATTATAACATTTTAACTAGCATGGCTATTTTTGTAATTTAATATTTTTAAATAAAACTAAAAAATATTCATGTATAACTTTTTTACTATTAACTTTTTTTCACTATTAACTTAGTGGCAATTTATATACAAATATCTTTCTAAATTTCTCTAAACTTTTATCTCTTTCTAAATATTATTATCTTCACATTTACACATTTTTCTATCTCTTAATCATCATCTCCCCTAAATTCCTCTAATTTTCTTTCTATCTATCTAAATATTATATATCTCTCCATTTTAAGTTAAATAAAAATTAGTCGTGACATTTAATTCTCTAATAAAAATTTGGTTGTATGTGCAAAAATAGTTACGTTTAATTATATAATTATTAGATATTATAGATTCAAATCGAATTACGGTGGCTTTATCTTAACAAATAACAAAAAAGGGAAAAAAAATCTAATTATGGCGGCTGAATTTCAATAACGCAACTAAGAGGTGTAATTATGATGACATTGGAATTTAAATATGGTGTGTGATTCAACTTTGAAAATATGGCTCATAAATTTACCATTTAATTAGATTATTCAAATTCCACATTCACGTAGGATGGATATCAAGGGCTGAGGATGCACCAAATCTCTCAGATTTTCAATTAATTGATTTGAACTCCTTGACCCCTTGTTTGGAAGCTCGAATTTATGAGGATTTTCAAATCAGAATTCTCTAAAATCATTTTGCGTGTTTTGTTGGATTAAAAAAATTGAATTTGAAATCCAATCTGATTTGAAATCCTATTTTGTCCCAAAAAAATTTCCATCCAAAATAGGTTGATTTGATATGATTTTAATTGAAAGTTGATCATATTACAATTTTACCCTTGCAATCAGTTTAATTGAAGAAATCAAACTGAACCAAAAAAAGAGGGAGATCAACTGAGAGAATGAGACCAATGCACAGACAATGAGATGAGATAAAATGAGAGAAAGAAAATGAAGATGAGATGAGATAAAAAGAGAAGAAAACAGAAAAAAGAGAGAAAGATATAGAAAGAGGAAGGAAAAGAAGGTATAAAGAGAAGAGAGAAAAAGAGGAGGAATACAAAAAATATGGAGGCAATGAGATCGATATGCCTTAGAGAACGAAAGATTTTGATACAGAGAAAGGTTGTTAGGATTTTGTTTTATAATTATAAGGRCGTAATGGTAAAATAAATATTTTATTTTCATTTCCTGCAGTCATCTAAAAAAAATTATTTTTGAATAATTTGAAATCTATCAAAATTTGGTAGGTTCCAAACGCAATTAAGAATTCGAAATCATTTATATTATTTAGAATTTTAGAATTTGAAATCATTTATTTCGAATTCTTAACATCAAACAAGGCATAAATGTCCTCGGTAAATGATAACAATGTCTAAATCCTTTTGTTACAATTATCATTATATTGTCTCCAAAATTTCCCTCTCAAAATGTCTGGATCAGATATTTATAAATGAATTAAATTTACCTAATCTATCAACTTAAATTTTTAGGTTTAGCGATGGTTTATTTATCTTTAAAATGTCTCCCACTCTCAATGGTGCGTGGCCTCTCTCGAGATGGATGCATTACATTCCTATCTGACGAAGAAATCTCTCGTGACGGTGGCAGGAGTATTCACACATCAATTAAGAACCAAAATGTATTTTATGGGTGGAAGGTTCTAGTGAAGAGACCAGAGATTTCAAGAGTTAGATTTTATAAGGAATATGTCTATTTTAAAAAAATGTTTTTCAACTTTTACAAAAGATCAAATTAGTGAAGAAGTTTGTCATTATTCAACTCAACTTGCACGGTAAAAAACTTTTTTTTTTTAACAGTATAAGAGATTAGTTCATTAGTTTTTATCTATTTATTACATAAAAAAAAGTATAAAATTAGATCCAAATATTAATTTTAATTAGATCTTTCAATCGTGACAATTAATTAAATTTATTACTTTATTTCCTATATAGTAAAATAGAACTCAACGTTTCACATATTTCCATGTAAGAGACAGTCTCCGTAAATAGCAAAAGGCGTCGATGTAAAATATGCACTTTTTTCAGTTTTCACGTTTAAATCCCGAATTTATCTTATCCATCCACATATTTCGAATTTCCCCGAACTGCCGCATTACACACGCTAATCACGACACGTGGCAGCACGTGTCCGATCATCAGCCCTGAACCTCCACCAGCTGCCACGTGTATTCCAACATTTCCACGTGTCACTTCCCTACTCCATCTTCATAACGTATTAAAAGCATCAAGATTTGACGTGCTACTTACTCAGCGAAACCCTTAGAACAGTGAAAGCAGCGGAAAATGCAGTCGGGAAAAAACGCAATGGAATCGATGAAGGAATCGGCTGCCAACGTGGCAGCCTCGGCAAGATCTGGCATGGAGAAGACCAAAGCCACTGTCCAAGAGAAGGTTCATTATTTATTCCATTTGTATCCCTTGCTTTTTACCTCCTAAAACAAATTTAAAAAATCCCATATATAAAGATATGTTTGAGAAGGTTTCTGTTTTTTATATTTTTTGTATATCTTATCGTTTACCTTATTGAAAAATTTAAGTGTCGGTTTAATAACATTACTATTTTATTTTTTCTTTCCAATTTCATTGAAAAAGATCTAGATAACAATTATCTATGTTTATATTGTCCTCTATTTTTTAAAAACTCTCAAAATTGTATAAACATTTTAGTTTTTTTTCGTGTTTTCAATTTGTTTCCTATGAATTATAGAAGAAATAGAAATAAGAGAGAAACGAAAAATAAAAAAGGAATAAAAATGTTTTCAAATGTAATTCTGTTTTTTATTTATTTAAAAAGAAATAAGAAAGAGAAGTTAGGGCCCTATGTAATTAAATTTCCAATGAGTGTCGTTATATATATATAATTTTAATGTTTTAAAAGTTTTGATAGATGGAGAAGATGACGGCGGAGGGCCCTATTGCTAAAGAAATGGCAGAAGAGAAGAAACAGGAGAGGATTCGGGAGGCGGAGCTTAACAAACAGATGGCGCGTGAGCAAAACGCCGCTGCGAAACAGGCCGCGACGGCCGCGACGGCCGCTGGCACACATCCGACCACCACCCACGGGACGGCGACATACGGCACCACCGGTACCGAGCACACACGGCACCAGGGCGTCATCGGGTCGCACCCGACCGGCACGCACGTCACGCATCCGACCACCACCTACGGGGCAGCGACACACGGCACCACCGGTACCGAGCACGGACTGCACCAGGGCGTCATCGGGTCGCACCCTCACGTGACGCACCCGGCCGGCACCCATGGCACGGCGACGTATTCCACCAGCGGAGCTCATGGCCATACCACGGGAGCCCAGCAGATGTCCGCCGTGCCCGGTCACGGTACCGGGCAGCCCACGGGCCGAGTGACGGAAGGCGTGGTGGAGTCGCACCCTATTGGAACTCAGACCGGCACCGGGACGACGGCCCGCAACCCGCGCGTGGGCGGCGGTGCAACCGGTTACGGCACCGGCGGCGGATATAGTTAAGATGAGCAGTGTCCCTTTCTATGCTTTTTAAGTGATCAAATGTTATTGTCTTTGGTTTTTCTTTTGGTTTTTTTCAGCTTTTTGTAGAATGTTTTCTGTGGGTTTGTTTCATGGTCTGATTTATCTTCTTTTCATTTTGTACCCTTTTATATGTACTGATGTTCAGTGATGAATAAAATTTGCATGTAATTATGGTTCTACAGAACTTATACATTAACATGTAATTGGTGTACAAACAAAAATTTGACAAAAATCTTTATATATTATTTTAAACAAAAATTTGACAATTAATTTTGTCATTCATTATAATTTTCTAATTCTTGTTTATTATTTCTTGAATCAATTTAGAGAAAACATAAATTATATCCCTATTTATTTTTCATATTTTTAATACAGTATCCTTCTATTTAAAATAGAAAAGAAATACCAAAGCGTTCATATATGAGGTATATATCTCCAACCAAACCCACAATATCAATTGCAATGATATCTGTTTAAACAATTAATCTGAAATTTTGCCATGGCTACCTATGGGATGAGTCTTCATGCCTGGATTAGCTTTTCCTTTCCATTTATTTTATTTCTTTACTAATAAAAGGTTGGTTTTCTATTTAATATTTATATTTTATAACAAAAAATGTATTTTTATATTGTTGAATTAAAAAGTTATTTTATTTAAAATTATAAAAAGAATTTCACTAATAATTAATAATTTAAACTTTTATATCCTCGCTTAAGCCATTTCAGACTAATCCAGATTATCTACAAATATGAATAAAACGATATGATAATATTTTGGTGTCTTATTTAGACTTTTTTTCCTTCATATCAAAATATGTTTGAAAATGTACTAAAAAGTTCTAAATTTTAAATAAATTATTTTTTTAATTAATAAAAAAAATCATAATTCTTATAAAAGAAAAAGGAAATCATTCTCTTTATGGTATATTTAAAGAATAAAATCAATCATATTGAAAAAACTAATACCAAATGTAAACTAATATTAATATTATTCTTATACAAATTTAACCCCCTCACAAGTAAAGTTTTAGATGCCTCATTGAATCAGATAAGTATTGAATAAATGAATAATCAGATAACTATTGAATAAATGAAGATTAGATACCAAAAGTATTGAATAAATGAATATTAGATACCAAATTAACTGCAATGGCAAAAATGGTTACTTGGACTAAAATATTAATTTGTAAGTTTATGCCGGAAAAAAAGTATCCTTTAAAAGGAAATTGATATTTAAAATGGAGATAGTAATGGGTAGCAAAAATCTTATATGTGTTTCAAAATATGTTACCTATTTTTAAAATTTTCAAACATAGCAAAAATTTTCACGTATATCAGCAATATATTAGATAATCATATCAGTAATATATCAGACACTCATATAGTAGTATATTAGATGTATATCACATATATATTGCACAGACACTCATATCAGTAGTATATTAGATGTATATCACATATATATTGCACAGACACTCATATCAGTAGTATATCAGATGTATATCACATAGATATTGCAAGTATATTAGACATTCATATCAGATGCATATCACATTCATATATCACTAACTAGATATATTACAAGTGTATATAATTTGGGTAAAATTGCTATTTTAAAATTGGACCTTCGTCTTTTTTTTATAAAGTGCTATATTTGAAAGAACTAAATGTAGTTACTAATTTGCTAATTTTACTAAATGTTTTTGCTTTATTTGCAACTGCGCCTGTTTAAAATGTTGCCGGACTATATTGATGTAGATTTTTTGCTTAAACTTCAATCACGTACGTTGTCGTGCTTGTCTGCTCATCTATAGGGTAGAGGAGAGACACAAAGGATTTGTAAATCCCACCAAAGCATTTGGGCTAGACATTATAACATATTTTAAATAGAACCAGAGATGTAAAGATGTTGCACTTCTATTAGAGGCTAGATAACACCTGAATAAAGCACCAAAAATAATAATAATGTTATCAGTACAACTACGTATAAGGTTTAGGCTATCATGTCCCACAAGTGAACGAGATGTAGGAACAACTGTGAGCTTTGTGGGAAGACTGAGAAAACGCTGGGAAGCAAAGATAGTTTCTCATGATATCTAGTAATTGTGAATTTTGGATGGGACAAATTTTACTATCATTTTCTTATGGGCTACACTCACATGAACAAAATGATGATATATTTCAATGTGTTTTGTACAATTATGCATAATTGGGTTTGCAGCCAAGTAAGAAGCACTAACGTTGTCGAATACACTACTAGAAAATTGGGTTTTCGTGACGCCCATGAATAGTAAAATACTGTTCAAAATAAAAATATGTGTCAGGAAAGGCAAAAAATGCATTTTTGGACGAAAAAAACGGGGATTTCCAAATATTTGACCTTTCGTGATGTTTTTTAACCGTCACAAAATGGTGGTCAAAAAATTGGTTTTTCATGACAATTAAAAAACGTCACGAAAGATTGATGCACATTTTTGGCGGGAAATGACAGAGTGTTTCGAATTTTTGACTTTCTGTGACGTTTTTCTAACCGTCACGAAATGATCTTCAAAAAGTTGGTTTTTCGTGACGTTTAAAAACTGTCACGAAAGGTTGAAGTGCGTTTTTGGCGGGAAATGACGGAGTGTTCCGAATTTTTTACTTTTCGTGACATTTTTCTAACTGTCACGAAATGGTAGTCAAAAAGTTGGTTTTTCGTGACGTTTAAAAAACATAGTGAAAAATAGATTAAAAAAAATTAATTAATTAACTTAAAATCTTTGAAGCTAATTTGATGGAATATATTTTTTTTTTTTAGGCATTGTTAGAATTTAAGTTAACAAAACATAAAAACCTAAAATTTAGGTGGTAGAAATTCTCACTAAGTAAATTTTGAATCCCATTAAAAATAAATATTATTTTTGTATTTCTATTTCATTTTAAAAGAAAACATATTTAGGAATGAGTCAATTTCTATTATTTTATATTATTTTTTTAGCCTAAATGTAACGACTAGCTTTCGCGTTAGTTTGCTTTTAAGATTTAATTTGTGTTTTCGGATTTTCCCGTCGGATTTTCCCCTAAGCTGATAATTTAAATCTTTCGATTTTCTAAATTTAGGRTTCTATTTTTGGGTAAGTTAGGATTTAATTAGAATTTAAGTTTAATTTTATTGGACCAAGATAAATTAAGTTAGCGAATTTTACACAGAGAATTTTAATCAATTATAGACGAAGGATTTTAATCAAGATAATTTTACAAAGAG